TGAGATGGCTGCCACCTATGGGTCAGATGATTGCCTGCCACCATTAAGCAATTGGTAATTTAATATAAAATTTTTTCCTAAAAAGTGTAAAGTTATGGAAAAAATATTTTCACGAAAATAAATTGTCACGCACAACGAGTCTGTGTGCAAAATGTCAGCTCTATTGGATCACGGTAAGTGGGTTAAAAAAACGACCGAAAGATTTGCACGGTCGTAAGCGCGCAAGCAAGCAAGCAAGCAAGTGAACTTAATATAAAGGATTTAAAAATGGCTCTTCTTTTTTATTTTGGTTGCCAACCCCCTGTTTAGAGACGTTGGTTTTCTGTGAGAGCTAATCAGTGGATCTTTAGCCTTGTGCTTTCAAACTGCATGCACACCATTTATATATTTACCCTTATTGAGGACACACAGCTCAGCCGTTCATGGTTATTGACTTAGCGGTGGATGTGTTGGCATAGGGTCATATTTCATTTCAAATTAGCATAGTAAAAGGTTACGTAGGAAAACATTACCGAGACACAATTGTCACCATAGCTGCAGTGGGAGCTCCGTGATTTTGTCCGCTATCAAAGTAATGAATATGTAATCGTGATATGTTCACTATATAAATTAAGCTCGTCATGGGTTTATTGGGGTTTTGTGTGACCCAAAGTTTGTTTATGCAGAGTTGCTCTTGCCAATACCAACTGGTAATCCATAGCGCACAGCCTGGCTCTGCTGATGAGACTCAAAAAGGTCCAAACCCGGCCAGAGTTTGCCTGCTTAAACAAATGCAGCTTGAGATTGGCTGATTTTTTTGTGTCTTAACATTTTTGTTATTTCACACCAACCGATATTGATTTGTGGTGCCTTTAGCGGTGGCGGCAGCGTAAGTGGTTAGCGCATTGTGCTCTGAACGATCCGAGTTCAGTTCCCGGCCACGGCTAACATCTGCGTGATATCTGATATCTGAAACAGCAGACCCGTCACCCCTCCCCACGCACTGATCAGCGTGGTGAAGTATGATTAAATAACCTCGCTCTCGTGACCGGCACATATCGTGGTGAGGTCATCATCATCATCATCCAGCAGTGGATTGACACAGGGCTGCAAATAATTATAATAATTATGATCGTATTAATTCTCCGACGACAGTGCATAATAAGTTGCATACAATAGTAGAATTAGGGTAAAATTGGTGATATGCAAAGTCAATTATGCACAAATGAACGAAAATGTCGAACGGACATTTGCATATTACTGATGATGTCCCAGCATGCCCTCTGAGCCTCAGAGAGTGGTTCTGGAATTATTAACGTTTAATTATCTTCGTCATTAACCATTAAAAAGATCATATAATCGGGCAAACACAAAAAAAACTGCATCTGCCATGTTCCTTACTGGGCCTGTTGAGACTGTTTTTCTGGAGAGACGTTAACTACCTCGCCTGGTATGCAGGAGCCCGTGGGTTCGATCCCGACCCTGACGCCTATTTTATATTTAGAGTTTGCAATGTTCTCCCCGTGGTCGCGTGGATTTTTTTTGTTTACGGGTCCTCCGGTTTTTCCCTCCGCAATGAGAAACGGGCATTTGGAGTATCTGGCTTGCGTTGAATTTCCACACGATGATAAGCCACTTCGTTGAGCTATCATTTGTGGCCAGGTCGCTTCTGAAAAACATCTGCACAGCTCAGTGGCCTTTGGCTGGTAAAATACAGTTTTAGTTTAAGTGTTGGGCCCAACGAAGCAAATGCTGCCAGGAAACGTCATGATCCCTTTCTCGCACAAGGACGGCAGCAAACTGCAGTCCTCGTGGGCCACTCTGCGCGTTTCCTTCCCCGTCGCCCGATCTCTTCCGCCCGTGGGCAAACCTGAAGTCAACCGATTTGCACGCCACTGGACGCGACCGATGGTCGGCGGTCACTCGGCGACTTGTGCGCCGCCAGACGATCGCGGCAACCTCAGCCGAGGGTTTGCGAGTGACGCTCGCGCGAGTTCACGGGCGGGGTTGTCCCTCGCTCTGTGCGGGTTCGGGGCTGTGCGGTTTTCGCGCTCCACGTGCGGCTGAACCGACTGCTACCCAAACGAATTCGCTCCACCGTCGCGGGTTGAATTCGCCCGACATGTGGCTATGCGGTCGGACGTAGGGGCAACGTTGTTGTGCGCGTGTGTGTGTGTTCTGTATGGTTAGCGCGCCGCGTTACGAAACCCGGCGACCCGGGTTCGATTCTCACTCACGGCCAACACCGGTGAGGATTATCTGAACAGGTCCTGGGACTCCCCTAGGTCGACTCAGCCTCAATTGAGTACCTGGTGCGATGTGTAGACATCGCCACTAGGGAGGCGAAGGCGGCCGGGCGTGGTGTTGGCCACCCACCCCCTCGTGTGCCGTGCCGGCCTTCATAGGTGCTCGCTAACAGCACTTGCCCCTACAGTCTGACAGGCTACATGGGAGATCTTTGTCTTTGTATGGTTAGCGCGCCGCATTACGAAGCCGGCGATCCGAGTTCGATTCTCACTCACGGCTAACACCGGTGATGATTATCTGAACAGGTCCGAGGCCTCCCCTAGGTCGACTCAGCCTCAAATCAGTACCTGGTGCAGTGTGTAAACATCGCCACTTTGGAAGACCAAGGCGGCAGGGCGTGGTGCTGGCCACACACCCCCTTGTGCCTTCATAGATGACAGCAGGTTGCCCCAACAGTCTGCTACGGCTATACGGGGGATCTTTGTCTTTCTATGCACTGCTCGGCAGACAGCTGTCTCCACGGGCGGTCTCGCTTTGCGCGCGCCCTTCTTTTGGAACGCATCTACTACTCCCGCGTAGAGCGAGGGACACGTGCACACGTTGTAACGGTGAAATGTGTAGTGACATAGAATGGGTCACTACTGCGCGTAGCGCTGGTTACTGGTAGAGAGCGGGATCGCGAGTGTAACAGCCCGGTCCACCAGCAGGGCAGGTGAAGTGTGCCACTGCAGCCAGCAGTGAAGGGCATTTGAGGATACAGCGTCCGGTCTGCCAGTAGGTCACGTGATAGGCACGGATGTAGGGTAAAGGTTCATACTCTTAGGTTTTTCGGTAAAGTCACGTAGGTAAAAAATAAAATTGTATTAATAAAAGTAAAATAAAATTAAAAAATATATATTTTACTTTTATTAATTTTATGTTTTACCTACGTGATTTTACCGAAAAAACCTAAGCGTATGAATCCTTGCAGTCACGAAAGCTTCAAATCTAGAATTAGGGTAAAGGTGACAGAGGGAACACGTGGGGCAGAGCCAGAGCCTTCTGGTGGGTTCCATAAGGGGGCGTGTCCGAGGGCGGAGCCAGGCCACGCTGGGAGGATAAAAGGGAGGCCCCGATGCTGGGTCGGGGCTGCTGCGGTTTGGGAATGGAACCCGTCGTCACCTCCTCGTCGGTGTTGGGTCAGGCAGCGTGCTGGCTGTCCTGACCCGTATCTAGTTATCCCCTATACTGTGGGAAGTGTAGAATGAACTTGTATGCCTCCTACTATTAGTGTCTTTGAATTGACACACTGCAAATGTAACAACGTGCCAGTCCAGTGGCTGTTGTGACTCCATTTAGCGAATTGCAGAAAATCCTTTCTTGTCTTGCAAACAACAACAACAAACAACCGCCGTTCACCACGAAGTGGCGGTGGCGACACCACGGCGCCTGTGCCAGGCTAGGTACACTTCGTCTTGCAAAGCCACATCTCTCCACCCTCGCGTCACAACCCCTGCCCCAACCCTTCCCGCCATTCCTCCTCCACCACAATCGCCATCGGCCCATTCTCCTTCATCCCGAGTGGCTATTGACAAGCCCGAGAAGAGGTGGGACGAGTTCGAGTGTGTGGTGGTGTTGTTGTCGTGTGGGTGGGTGGGAGGCAGAAGAGGAAGTGAGAGTTGTCATGGGAGAGATGGAGGAGGAGGGGAGAAGGATGAGTGGGAGGGAGGGAAGGGAGGAGGTTGGTGGGAGGGAGGAGCAGGGTGGGTGGGTGGGAGGGAGAACCAGGGTGGGTGGGGGGAAGCAGGGTGGGAAGGAGGGGGGAGCAGGGTGGGAAGGAGGGGGGAGCAGGGAGGGAGGGAGGGGTGAGTCGGGTGGGTGGGAGGGGTGAGTCGGGTGGGTGGGAGGGAGGGGTGAGTAGGGTGGGTGGGAGGGAGGGAGGGGTGAGTCTGGTGGTGGGTGGGAGGGGTAAGTCGGGTGGGTGGGTGGGAGGGAGGGGTGAGCAGGGTGGGTGGGTGGGAAGGAGGGGTGAGCAGGGTGGGTGGGAGGGAGGGGTGAGTAGGGTGGGTGGGAAGGAGGGGGGAGCAGGGATGGAGGGGTGAGTCGGGTGGGTGGAAGGGGTGAGTCGGGTGGGTGGGAGGGAGGGGGTGAGTAGGGTGGGTGGGAAGGAGGGGGGAGCAGGGAGGGAGGGAGGGGTGAGTAGGGTGGGTGGGAGGGAGGGAGGGGTGAGCAGGGTGGGTGGGATGGAGGGGTGAGTCGGGTGGGTGGGTGGGAGGGGTGAGTAGGGTGGGTGGGTGGGAGGGGTGAGTAGGGTGGGTGGGAGGGAGGGGTGAGTAGGGTGGGTGGGTGGGAGGGAGGGATGAGTAGGGTGGGTGGGTGGGAGGGAGGGGTGAGGTGAGTAGGGTCGGTGGGTGGGAGGGAGGGGTGAGGTGAGTAGGGTGGGTGGGTGGAAGGGAGGGGTGAGTAGGGTGGGTGGGAGGGAGGGGTGAGTAGGGTGGGTGGGTGGGTGGGAGGGAGGGGTGAGTAGGGTGGGTGGGTGGGAGGGAGGGGTGAGTAGGGTGGGTGGGTGGGTGGGAGGGAGGGAAGAGTAGGGTGGGTGGGTGGGTGGGAGGGAGGGAGAGCTAGGGTGGGTGGTGGGAGGGAGGGGTGAGCAGGGTGGGTGGGTGGGAGGGGTGAGCAGGGTGGGTGGGAGGGGTGAGCAGGGTGGGTGGGAGGGGTGAGCAGGCGAGAGAGAATACGAAGTTCCACAAAACCGCTCCCACACCCCCCGGTACCACATCTCCCCCCCGCCTCCTAGCAGCGAGTGCGAGCAGAGAGTGCGAGCAACAGCGTGGAGGCGGGGGAGAGCGAAGAGAGAGAGAGAGAGCGAGAGCAGGGCAGGGGTGGGTTTCAAGGCAGACGCCTGTGGATTTGGTGGTGGTGGTGTTTGGTGGTGGCGGTGGTATTGCCTGCCGGGCGTGGTGCTGACCACCCCCCATCTCCCTCGTGTGTCCCGTGCCAGCCCTCGGGAGGTGCCACTCGCAAAACAGCACGTGCCCCCCCCCCCCCCACGAACGCTCTGCCAAGCGAGGTGACACGGGGGGGTCTGTCTTGTTGGCGGACTCTGTGTGTGCTGGGGGAGCGGCGCGGCTGGAACCATCGCGCAGAGCGGCTCCCACCAGCAGCAGCAGCAGGAGGGAGGAGGTGGTGGAGGAGGAGGAGCGGTCACATTACCGGTGAGCATCAACTCTGAGCATCAACTCTGAGCAACTTTACCACGCACGGGCCAGTGACGGAGGGGGCCTGAGTTTAGGCGAGTGGAGTGGTGGGGGGGAAGGTGTAGAGGTGGTGGTGGGGGGGAAGGTGTAGAGCTGGTGGTGGGGGGAAGGTGTAGAGCTGGTAGTGGGGGGAGGGTGTAGAGCTGGTGGTGGGGGGGAAGGTGTAGAGCTGGTGGTGGGGGGAAGGTGTAGAGCTGGTGGTGGGGGGAGGGTGTAGAGCAGGTGGTGGCGGGAGGTGTAGAGCAGGTGGTGGCGGGGAGGTGTAGAGCTGGTGGTGGTGGGGGGAAGGTGTAGAGCAGGTGGTGGGGGGGGAGGGTGTAGAGCTGGTGGTGGGGGGAAGGTGTAGAGCTGGTGGGGGGGGGGAGGTGTAGAGCTGGTGGTGGGGGGAAGATGTAGAGCTGGTGGTGGGGGGAGGGTGTAGGTTCCTACTGTGATCTGGGTTCCCTGCTGTGATCTGGGTTGAGTTCCCTGCTGTGCATCTGGTGTCCGCAATGTGCACCGGTGTTGAATTCGATTCCAAGTTCACTCGTTCCACGGGAAATCCCGTCTGAGCCAGTTACCCAGCTATAATCTCGACTTGAAGCTTTCCTGACTGCAGGAATCCATCCTCTTTGGATATCCCGCGATGCCATCGTCACCGAACAGGAACATCCATCATCATCAGTGATACCCTATAGAGGTGCAGGCAACAGCTGGGACAGACCACAACTTGATACACAGAACAGTAGTAGTAGGACATTATGTACACGTGCAGCCCGTGTGCCAATCCACTGCTGGATGAGGGCCTCTCTGGCAGGCTGTGTGTGTCCTGGGTGTTATTTGAACTTGCCGTACAGCACTGCACTTCGCACGAGTCCATTGGACGTGGATCATCGACGTGGGAGCATAGAAGTACAGTACAGTAGAGTACAAACAATGGATTGTTTTCACTGCACTGCCCTCCTGCTGACATGTAGACCCACCAGTAACTTGGGACTGTGGTTCTGTATTAGAATGTTTCTTTTTTTTTTAAGAGATCAACGCACTCGTCAATGACACCGTGGCCCTTCCGCATAGCACACATTTGCGATGGGAACGATTTTGTGTTTTATTGACAGGTGACGTTACGGCAACGGCCGGGCTCCTCCTTCCTCGTTGCTCCCAAGAGCTATGAGGAAGGAAACTCGTTGTTGCTCTTGACCCGTGCGCTTGACGGGCGTGTTGAGTTTATATTGTTCAGGGTGCTGGTGCGCTTTCCGCCGCCGATTTTCGCCGTGGCTGGGAAATGAACCCTCTCGGGGCAGGCTCGAGAGGGCAAGCTTCCCAGCAACCTCTGCCACAAACCTCACAGATCTACGTTAAAGGCCACCGGTTGGTTGAGGTAGCCGTGGTCGGGACTCGAACTCGGGTGGTGGGATGTGCGTTGGTGGCATCGCTGGGTTCAAGAGTGCGCAGGGTTGTTAACCACTTTGAGCGGCCGCTTCAACGGGCCGCAAAACCCCTTCACAGATCTGCGTGACGACCGCTGTCGGGCTCGTCATCGTACCGAGCGAGTGATAACGAATGTCAATGAGCCCGGGCCGCGTTAATCGACGTACGCGGGCCGACGGATTGATTACCGTTACGGCTTGTCAGCCCGCTTTAGTGTCTCAGCCTGAACTGTCCGCGTAATGAAAACGAGCGCTAAATTCGCCTCGGGAGGTCGGGATTTTAGCTGAGCTTATTAAGCCGAGCTCAAAATTCCTGCTTCCCCACCACCCCCCCACCTGAATACCTCTCACACACTCAGCCCACCCATCTACCAATCCACTCACCCTTACCCACTCATCCATCCAGCCAACCATCAAGCCACCCACTCACCCATCCACTTACAAACTTGCCCGCCTACCTACACAACTCACTCATCCACTCACCCGTCCATATGCTCACAAGCTCACTCGCCCATCCACTCAACCATCTACTCGCCTATCCACTCGCCTATCCGTTCGTCCACCCAGCCACCCATCCAGTCACCCAACTCACCCACCCACCCAACTCACCTGCACACTCACCCATCCACCTACCCACCCATCCACGCATCCGGTCACCGAACTCACCCCCACATACCCAACCACTCACAAACGCACTCACCCGTCCACCCCGCCACCCACTCATCCTGCCACCAATCCACTCACAAATGCACTGCCCCGTCCGCTTACCCAGCAGTCTGCCCGCACGCCAGCGGTGCTGTGAAATTCAAAGAGGCAGGATAATAAGCGCAGGATGATCGATGAGAAGCCATCGCTGTCGGAAGTGGCCGTGCGGCTCGGAGAGTTTATTCCTCGGCTAGACCCTTGAGGCGGCGGGCACCGCCGCCGAGAGCCTGGGTTCGAATCCAGATTTCAACGCCTCTGCCAATTCGAATGAGTCCTTGGAGCCGAGCGAGTTTGGTGGCGGCCTTTAGCGTAGACAATAACAAACGGGCGAACAAAACTAACAAAAATCTCGTCGCAAAATGTACCTTGCGTTTTCACGCGAGGCCACTAATGCTGCGTTCACGACCCCGATGAAGTTGATTCTTGCACACACGATTCCACACGGGTATCGTTGTAGACACCTGTGTGAAATAGGGTCATCCGTGAGGTGTTACGGATGACCTGGCACTCGCCACAGGAACGGAATGCCCACCAATTATTTAGGACCGCCCATTGCGAAAGACAACGAGGGGCTCTTCGTTTGAGATTGAAGATGCCTGATTGTGGGACGTTTGAAAACCGAATTTGGAGCCGCCGCTTATTTATTTCATTGCTTACCCAGCTTATTATGCCCCCCCATTACGGCGTGTTCATCTTGTTCAGGCGAGGAGGCCGCTGCGTTTATCTGATTGCTCCTGCGGGCGGGCAGAGGGCCTTTTGGCTCTCTGCCGGATCTCGCGATAAGCATCCACATGCAATTATTTTTACTAAAACTAAATTTCGATTTAAAGCTTTCGTGACTGCAGGGATTCATCTTCTTGGTTCTTTGTCTGTCTTCTCGACAGAGCTGCTCCACCTGAGGACGGCTGCTTGCGTTGTGGCCGAAACGTCGTGAGAATTATTTTATTATATTTTATTTTTATTATTTTATTATTTCCATTCTACGTGACTTTACCGAAAGAACCAAGAAGATTTACTAAAACTCTTTTTTAGTTTAGCAGGTAAGGCCCCACCGAGCCCTATGTAGCTCTTTTTCAGAAGCGGACCTGCCCACAAATGATAGCTCAACAAAGTGGCTTATCACGTGGAAACTTATAGCAGCAAAATCATGTAAATAGCTCGCTGTGGGAGCGCCTGCATTCGGAATGGAGCGGGAAAGTTTACAATTGAATCTTTATCCTGCAGAAATCCGATGAGCTATGAAGCCTGGACATTTGGAGTTTGCATGTTCTCCCCGTGGTCGCAGTGGATTTTTTCTCCAGGTTCTCCGGTTTTTCCCTCCACGTTTAGAATCAACATCGCCGCGTGTTTAGAGTATTTGCCACGAATATCCACGCGATAAGCCACTGCGTTAAGCTGTCATTTGTGACAGGTCGATCCTGAATAAGAGCTGCATAGCTCAGTGGGCCTTACCTAGGCGAGTAAAACAGTTCACAGTCTGTCGTTTATTTTCTTGGTTCTTTCGGTAAAGTCGCGTAGAAGGGAAATAAAAAAATAAAAAAATAAAACATAATAGAATAATATATTATTTTATTATGTTTTATTTGTATAATAAAATAATATATTATTTTACTTTATTATGTTTTATTTTTATTTCTTTATTATTTCCCTTCTACGTGACTTTACCGAAAGAACCAAGAAGTCGAATCCCTGCAGTCACGAAAGCTTTAAATCGAAAAGTCTGTCGTTTATTTCCCACAGCTGTCTAGTCGGGGCGGGTCAGATAGTCGACCGCGGTGGATTCTCACGCCCGCGATCATCAACCGTCGTTTAGCCATTGTCTCTCCGCTGCTGGATGGACGCCTCCCCCATCACCGCCGCTAACAATCCCCGCGATGCGCCAATCCATCTGTCTCCTGCTGCGGCGCGGGATCATTTTCGTTGCTCCATTTCCGCGGTGGAGATCGTAATCGAGCGCGGTTCCCCCTTGGGTGTTAATCTCCGACCGCCGGCCGTCGTGCCTTCCAACGACATGTATGTACAGTATGTTGAACTTCTTTCCCACCGTACGTAGCCAACCGTGACAATCTGTGGGTCTCTGTAGGTCCCTGTGGGTGTCTCTGTGGGTCTCTGTGAGTCTATGGGTGTCTGTGAGTTTCTGTGGGTTTCTGTGGGTGTCTGTGGGTTTCTGTGGGTTTCTGTGGGTGTCTGTGGGTTTCTGTGGGTTTCTGTGGGTGTCTGTGGGTTTCTGTGGGTTTCTGTGGGTGTCTGTGGGTTTCTGTGGGTTTCTGTGGGTTTCTGTGGGTTTCTGTGGGTGTCTGTGGGTTTCTGTGGGTTTCTGTGGGTGTCTGTGGGTTTCTGTGGGTTTCTGTGGGTTTCTGTGGGTGTCTGTGGGTTTCTGTGGGTTTCTGTGGGTTTCTGTGGGTGTCTGTGGGTTTCTGTGGGTCTCTGTGGGTTTCTGTGGGTTTCTGTGGGTGTCTGTGGGTTTCTGTGGGTCTCTGTGGGTGTCTGTGGGTTTCTGTGGGTGTCTGTGGGTTTCTGTGGGTGTCTGTGGGTGTCTGTGGGTTTATGTGGGTTTCTGTGGGTTTCTGTGGGTTTCTGTGGGTTTCTGTGGGTGTCTGTGGGTTTCTGTGGGTGTCTGTGGGTTTCTGTGGGTGTCTGTGGGTTTCTGTGGGTGTCTGTGGGTTTCTGTGGGTTTCTATGTATGTTGAACTTATTTCGCACCGTACGTAGCCGACCATGCTCATCGGAGGTGCGGGGGGAAAGGACGGCAGACGTGTCCTGGCATGAACCCTCGCTGTCCTGTCTTCAAAGACGCTCGGCACGAGTTCTCTCCAACTCAACGCGTTTCTGGGAAATGCCGAA